CGTTCAAGGTGGTGCTGCTCGGGGAAGGCTGCGTGGGGAAGACGTCGCTGGTACTGCGCTACTGCGAGAACAAGTTCAACGACAAGCACATCACCACTCTGCAGGTGCGATTGTTTTTCTGAATCCGCCCGGGTTGGGGCAGCCTGTGGACTAAGGACAGGCTGCCGGGAGGGGCTGCAAGGCCCGGAAAAGTCCCCGTGTCCCCCGAGCGGGCTGCGCACGTCCGGGAGTTCCCGTCCGTGGACTAGTTTTTCCCCTTTGATGCGCTTCCGCTCGGGCCCCAGGTGCTTTCACCCTGCGGTCTCAGTGGCAGCCCCTTTTTTCTGTTCTTTTCTTCCGGATTAGAACTTAGCTGCGGATCTGATTTTGCGAATTAGGTGATTTGTAACTTCACCTCTTGCTGATGACAAAGTGTTTATGCAAGTCACATTTTGTCCAGTCTCCAGTGACAAGAATAGAAAAACAGCAGCCTCTGGAGGGGTTTTGAAACGACCGCTTGGCAGTGCAGCTTACGCAGTTTCGTTGCAGCCTGTGTGGGTCTGACTTGTGGGTGCCTGATTCTGCGAGGTCGGTCAGTCCATGTTGAAACGTCATGTGAATACTGACCAGTAGTCGGTCCCCTCCCTTTGAGAGGGAGCTGTAGTCTCCCTCCTGTCTTAAAGAAACCAGTTTGTCAAAGGCGGTAAAATCTAGTGAACTTTTAAGCTTGATTGCCTAGATTCGTATCCTATATCCGCCCATCTAACTGGTTGTATGGTTTTGGGTAAATTGCTTTATTTGTCTGTCTCTTGAGTGTTATCCCCTGTTAAAAATATCAACGATAATAGTTGATAACACATAGGGTTGCCAGGAGAAATATATGTAAAAGCACTTAGGACAGGATCCAGCGTAAGCACTCTGCCTTTATTGTTACCGCCCCAGTTTGCACAATAGATCTTAATTAGTAATTGTGTAGTGTGCAAGAACATGGGTGCTCTTTAATGGCATGCATAATCTCCTAATTGTTGTGACATTGGATGTTTGATGCTATTATTAAACTACTAAGTCTAGAATTTACAAAGATGCTCCGGTTCTGATTCCATGTTCTATTTTTACTTCTGTTTTTAATCTTATGTAAAGTATAATATCTGAAGAAGTAAAAGTCAGGCCATAGTGCCACAGGTTAATGGTACTGTGCAGCCCAAGCTCAACTTGGAGCTCAGGTCAGACTTCACATTTTGAATAGTTAGGTTACATTATCTCTGGATATTTGTAAACAAGCCATTTAGCATTTTCCTTTGTGCAGAATCTAAGATAAAAGAGAAAGTCATTGTGATTGAGATCTTAATGGCTTTTACCTTCCAGGCTAAAAAATTAACTTGTATTATTATGCATTTCTAAAACATCCTCAACAATAAAAGCAGGTGAAGATTTTTAAATACTTGAGGAAAAACGCAATAAACCACACAGAAGAGGATGAAGATATTATGGTGGATCTCCAGTATTAGAAATAGTCCTGATTTTTTATATTTGTATAACTCATTATAAAGAGTATCTTGCTTATGTTAGAAAGTTGAGAATTGTGTTGTTCCCGCATGCAGAAACAGCACTCTAATCCTTTTAGCAGACTTTTCAGAAGTTTGATATGTATATATGACCTACAAGACATAACCTTGTATGCTTTTAATTTCCAAAAATGGGGAGACCATGCATCTGAAGATAAGAAGAGTTCACCTTTTCTTATCAACAGGTTACCTACCTTTATAAAAGACTTGGTGATTTGCAGAGTACTGTCTCATACATTCGTATTTGAGAAGAACTGTAAGACTTGCAGGAACCTAAAAGTTTGTATTTCACTGTTTTAGTCTTTTGTTGGCTATTTCTGCCTCTCCGCTTCCCTCCCCTCCCCCTCATGGAGGTGAAATGAACCGATATACAAAGTAGAAAACTTAGTATGAGTGACCCATTTCTTTTTTAGACAAGTCTAAAGTCCAACAGATTTTTCTGGTATAAAGTCAAAATCTGTTACCCTGTGATCTCCAGTCCTGGTTTTGCCCTTTGAATCTTGGTTTCATATGACATCCTTTTTGATAGTTGAAGATAGCTATCACATCTTCTTTGAGTCTTGACTTTTCTTTGGTAAACAGCTCTAATTCCTTTAAGTGGATCTCCAGTGACATTTGTTTAAATCTTTTCATTGTTTGGCCATCTTGTCTAGATACTCTTTAATTGTTGTCTCTCTCATTTCTCTCTCTCTCTCTCTCTCTCTCTCTCTCTCTCAGGACGCAGGACTTTTTATTGAGCTGCATCTTCAGCCTACCCCTCCCCACCCCCCCCTTTATTGGTTTTTTTTTTTTTAATTGAGTTTATTGGTACATTTAGGGATACAGTACAGTTACATTCATTGTTGGGATCATGTACCTTTACATGGCAAGTCTTGGTTTTGTTTTTTGAGACAGTGTCTGTGTAGTTCAGGCTGACCTTGAATTTACTGAGCTGCCCAGCATGATCTTCCTGCTTCAGTCTCCCCAGTCCTGGGATTACAGGCATGCGCCACCACACCCAGCATGGTTTTTTATTCTGATACAGCATCTTCCAAAATTGCCCAGACTGGCTTTGAACTTTCGATCCTCCTGTTTCAGTTTACTAAGCTTTTGGGTGTCCTTTGTTCTTTAAAATGGAATGCCTTGAGCTATAGAAATGATTCCAGGGATGATTTGCACTGAACAGAGAAGTATAGGCTTTTGCTTTCCCTAATGAAAATAATTTTCTATAACAGGTAGAAAAGATTCTCAGCTTTGTAGGCACCTGTTACATTGATTAATATTGGATTTTCTGTCAACTAAAAAATTTTCTCTATTTGCTTAAAAAATTGTTGATCCTTCAAATTCTCTTTTATTTTGTAGTTTTTGTGTCACTATTTACTTGACCTGTTAAAGTTGGTTTGATTTATTTACTCCTGTGATTAAGGCCTATTAATATCCTTTTAAACTTTGTGTAGTTTATGAAACACTGCTTGGACTTCTGTGAGTAATGAAGTGGGTGGGTCCCAGACATATAAAAAAGGCGTGGAAGCCACTGTCTGGATTAGCTACTTTGCAGCTTTGTCTCCTGAAGATATGGTAAGAATGCCCTCAATGTCGTTAATAAAGACTGAAAGAAAGAGGAGAAAGATCCAATAAAAGTCTTTGAAAGAAAGCAGAGAGGGCCAAACACAAAACTCTGATACATGGCCAGAAATGAGTTTTTGTTTAGACATGGCAGAGCCTTATGGTGGCTCGGTGGTTTTCAGTCTATGTGTGGCCACAGGCCATCCTTCTTCTTCATCTTGTGTGAGAAACAGTTATTAAGGGATTATATGTTAATGATAATTGAAGCAGAACACAGTTTTAAGACCAAACTATATGGGCCCACTATCTAGGGAACATAAATCCTTTACTGAAATTCAGCATGCCTATGTTAATAGCAGCACAGCTCATAATAGCTAAGTCTTGGAATGACCATCAGCAGATGGATGGGTAGAGACAATGTGAAACACAATGGAGGACTACTTTGCTGTAAAGGATAAATTTGAGTCATTTGTAGGAAAATGGATGCATCTTGAGACCATAAAGTTAAGTGAAAGAAATCCAACATGCAAGCTTATATGTTGCATGATTTTTCTTATATAAGAAAACCAAAGAGCCAGAGATTTGTCTCAGTGATTCTGCCACTGCCTCGCAAGCACAAGGACCCGAGTTTGATCCCCAGTACCCCCCAAAAAAAGAAAGAAAGAAAGACAAACCCAAAGAGTAAAAAAACTAAAGAGCAAAATAAAAGATAATAGGAAACAAGAGCCCTTGCAAAAGGGAAGAGGGGACTAAGTGATGCAGGGAGGAAAGGGATAAAATAGAATTAAGATGTTACATACATGTACCAACTCCCCACAATGACTGTAATCATAAAAAGTACTAATAAAGTTACTAGAGCATCACAGATCTCCTTTTTGTTGTAGCCATATAAGTCTTGCCCACAGGGACTATCATGAGATGCTTTGTCAGATGTCTTCAGAAGTAGTATCCAGATCTCTCAGGAGGGCTGTGATGTGGTAGAAAGAGAAGGGTCTTTGAAGTTAGAGTTGAATGTACATTCTCACTCCTATGTCATAGCCATTGTGATCTTGGCAGGTTATTCTGTTTGTAAGTTCTCTCCTTGTATATAAAGTGCAAGTGCTTCACTCATTTGTCTTTTATGTGGGTTACGTTGACAGTCATGATGTGGAAAGCTCCTACCACAGTGACTGGCATGTTCTTGTTTGTTTATTTAGCTTAGTATGTGTGTATGTGTGCATGTGTGTGTATGCACTGAATATCAAACCCAGGATCTTACACGTGCTAGGCAAGCACTCTACCACTAAGCTGTCCCTAGTCCCCAAAAATGTTTGTTTAATAAATGTTTACTGTTGAATAAATAGAGTGGTTGTTAATTTGTTTGTTTATTTCTTTCATGGTAGTTCTGAAAAGGTAGTGGAATTAATTTGACTTGAAGTATTTTGAGAACCCATGTTGTCTCTGAGGGATCACTGAATTTTAATTAGTTGAATTTGCTTATGATATGTTTTTTTTTTTAAAAGAATTGCTTATAAGTGTGTATTTTTAAAATTATATACATGCATACAACAATTTTAACTGGGATTTTAGAATTTGCTTTTTAAAAAAAATTGAAGCATTTGTTTTAGTGATGCTTTCTTTTTCCAGAACTACTTCTAGGTTACACTCTTATAGATAAGTTCTCTGGTGCAGAACCTTAGTTTATATAAAGCCCCCAACATGTTTTGTGCGCATTGATTTCCTCACTGATTTGAGACTTTGATAACTTTATGGAAAGACAGTTGGAGTAAGTTACTCCTCATTCTTTTTTCTTTTTGCTTTTGGTCCTGGAGGTTGAACCCAGGACCTTCACAGTGAATACATTACATTTTTTTTATTTTGTGATAAGATCTCACTGAGCAATTAAAGTACCCAGGTGGCTTGAATTTGCAATTCTCTTCCTTCAGCCTCCCAGAGTGCTGTATTACAGGCATGTGCCACCATGCTTTTTCTATGAAATTTATTAAGGCAATACTGTTAACACTAAACAATTAAAT